GGAATGCTGAATGGCTATCTTAATTGCCTTTCTACAAGTCTTCTACAGGAGTTACTGTATGTGTTATTCTTAAATTTCAACACAATGCAAGGAGATATAAAATTATATATACACCTATACAATGAATCTTGTAGAACAGAGCCTGCCTTGAGAACACCCCTGACTTAAAAAGTGCAAAAATTCTCAATTTAATACAGAAAATCTGCTTAAGTTCATACACATGTTGGCACAACTTTGAATAAAGACACAAAAAAAAAAAAGGTGCAGGTTATAGAACCAGCAATCACAGAACAGCTGAGGTTGGACACAATCTCTGGAGACCACCTAGTCCCTGCACAGAGCAAGAGCAACTAGAGTAGACTCCTCGGGACTGTGTCCAGGTGTGTTTTGAATAACTACAAGGACGAAGACTCCACAACCTTTCTGGGCAACCTGTTCCAGTGTTTGATGACCCCTACAGTAAATGTTTTTTTCTTCTGTTCAAGTGCAATTTCCTGCATTTCAGTTTGTGCCCATTGCCTCTTGTCCTGTCACTGAGCACCACTGAGAGGAGCCCAGCTCTGAGTTCTTCACTCGTTCCCACCAGGTATTTATACACATTAACAAGATTCCCCTGAGCCTTCTCTTTCCTAGGCTGCAGAGTCCCAGCTCTCCCAGCCCTCCTCACATGACAGGTATCTTCAAGCTCTTCATCCTTGTGGCTCTTTGCTGTGCTTGCTCCACTGTGTCCATGTTTTTCTTATATTCCCCTCATGAAAGTACCTTGATTTGCTAGGTGTCTCCTGCCATATAGAAGTAACTTGGTTTTCTGAGTGCAAAGACTGAAAGTTCTCAAAGGTGAAATTGCAGCTTTTTAAAATCTTGACCACATTTCTGCTTCCTTGCAAAGACGTATGCTAACTCTGAAGCACCTCCTTTATATTACTCATATTAACTTTTAAGTGCAAACATTTCACAGGCATGCCAGCAATTCTAAGAGCAATTTTCACTACCGCGCAAACATCAGATACGCACAAACAATGAAAATAAAGCAAGCAATCTAAAAGTCAGCAAGAAGCCTACTTCTGAATTAATCTCAGTGTGTTTTGCTAGATTACATTTTGTTTTGGGGAATTCAGGGGGAAAAACCAGCAAATCAGTGTACCATCATTTAAGAACTGTTTTTATATTTCTATGGTGCTGCAGGTATACAGAGGTACATACAAACGTGACTGTGGGTTTTTGTTCTTGATCTTTCATTTTGCTTGTGTTTTAATGTTATTTTTAATGTACAAGAGCTGTTTGCTTAATGTAACTCCTGAGAATGTTATGGATTATCTGGCAATCTCTAGTTGTATTTTTTATCCTGAAAATAATAATCACAGTATCTAAATCAAACATAAACAGTCACTGAAGATGAAAGTGAAATAAAAAATGCATTTTTAAAAAATGGAACTTCAAACAAATAAATATTGACTTAACAAGCATCACACAAGTTTTGTGACACTTCTGAAACCTTCTACCCACCCACCTGGTCACAACCATTCACAGACCAGCTGGGCTCTCTCTAGCTAGTATTATGCAACAAAGATGTCCTTGTGGTCACTTCTTATGGTCACTGGGGGATGACCTAGGGCTTGTCCTGTGGCATGTTTAGCCTGGAGAAGAGAAAGGTCCAGGGAGACCTTATAGCAGCCTTCCAGTACCTAAAGGGCGTCTACAGAAAAGCTGGAGAGGGACTGTTTACAAGGGCAAGTAGCGATAGGACAAGGGGTAATGGGTTTAAACTGAAAGAGGGTAGATTTACATTATATATAGAGAAAAAATTCTTCACTGTGAGGGTGATGAGGCACCAGCACAGGCTGCCCAGAGAAGTTGTGGATGCCTCCTCCCTGGAAGTGTTCAAGGCCAGGTTGGATGGGGCTTTGGGCAACGTGGTCTAGTGGAGGGTGTCCCTGCCCATGGCAGGGGGGTTGGAACTAGATGATCTTTGAGGTCCTTTCCAACCCAAACCATTCTATCATTCTATGTCAGTGGACTTCCATTTTCCCTCCTGAATCCAAGCCAAAAAGTGGCAACCAAAACAAAGCAAGCATATAGGCTGACAAAGGAGACAGCAAAGATGCAACTTCTTGCGGGACCAATATCAATAAATTCCCAGCTGCTGAAGCACCACGTACCTGCCCATCAGGTAGCTGTACCCCATCCCCACGCACAATCTGCAAGCAGAAAAGCTACTTTTTCATTTTCGCCTCTCTCATATTTCTTACTTACATCCCTATTCTGATTGGGATAAGCAAATATATTTTTTTTTAAAAGCCACATGTGGAACTGCGTAAGATGTGGCAGCTTTGCATGTCTTTTAATAACATTGAAAAAACCCCTAACCTGCCATGTGTATAATGCAGGTTCTCATAATCCCACTTATCCTTCTTTAATGAGAAATTTTATCTTCCCAGCATCTGTGGTCTTACAGGATACTAACATAGTTTCAGTACACCCCAGCAATTAATGTATAACTTATTAAAGAACAACAATCACTTTATTTAATATGTATTCCTAGCATTTTAAGGAAAAGAAAATGAAAACTGGGTTAATAGAAAACCAGAAAAAAGAAAACATTAAATAATTCAAAATGTCATGTACATATCTAATTTTTTAAAGGATTAAAACTGAGCGCTGAAGGGAACTTCTTAAAAGCAATCCTAGCTACGTACAGAATGATTTATGCTTTCATGTACATCATTCGGTTTCACCAAGGAGTGACACCAAGTAATGAGAATAAAGTGTGAAAGGTCTTTAAATTGCTGAACAACCTGAGAGCAGAACAAATTGGTACATTGTAAACAGCTATTACTTTGCTCACTTCTGAGTTACGCTAGCCATCTGAATTAGATGCAGAAACCTGCAACACGTGTGCAAGTTTACTGCAAGTAAAAGTGCTAACTAGCCAGATAATAGGAGCAAAGAAATGCAGGACTGAGGGGAAAAATTAGATGAGAGCTAATAGTCAACAGATAGCATTACCTTAATCTTTTATCATCTGTATCAGCTCTGGGAAAGCAATCAGAAGAACTGAAAGAGTACGTTATTTTCCCTGATCTGAGAAAGATTTTCGAAGCTTAGCATCAGACATTGCGTAAGCTGCGAAGAATGATTTTCCACAAAAGGCCCTTTCCCATCTAGAGGAAGGGATTTCTGGAATGTGCTCTGCATGGGGCAACACTGGAATGTCAGTAATTTCCCTCTATACACCCTGGCAGCCTGCTTACACTGCAATGCTTCTCATGGAAATTGTGTATATCATTTTGCTCTAAAACTTACAACCACCACCAGATCCTATTTTGGAGAGCTTATTTTACATTGTAAAAGCATTAAGGGACTGAAACTTACCTATCCAACAGGTCACCTCCTATTCCTGGGATACCACAACAACTCAGACTAGCTGACATACTGGAACTGGCAAACCCCCAACTACAACTTTGGCCTTGGCTCTTATTAGGAGGCTGAGCTGGTGGAGTATAAAGCACATCCTAGTCATAGCACAGGTCTTCAAAACCTAAAGAATCTACGATATTTTCCCTGAAATTGTTTGCCTCAATGGATTTAAAGAACTATCAAAATTAAAAGGTAACAGGGATTGCAAATATTATTGCACATTCCAAACATCAACTTTACTGTGCTCATTTCTTTTATTCTGTAATTTAACTATTAATATTAAATATATTGCATTATTATAGTATTATTACATGTCTGTTAACTAAATATTTAATCAAGAAATAACAGTTGAAACAAATTGGTTGTTTGGGGTTGTTTTGGTTTTTTTTAAATAGCAATTGGAATGAAATGTGAAGGTTACTTGGAGTCAATGTATTTCAATTTTATGGTGTTTCGACGTATTTCAATTTTCTTATAGTGTGTCCTGGTTTCAGCTGAGAGGGTTGATTTTCTTCATAGTAGCTAGTGGGGGGATATGTTTTGGATTTGTGCTGGAGACAGCATTGATAATATAGAGATGTTTTTGTTCTGTGGACTTATTGTTGAGCAGTGTTTACATGGGGCCAAGGCCTTTTCTGCTTCTTGCACTGCCCTGCCAGCGGGATGGCTGGGGGTGCACAAGGAGTTGGGAGGAGACACAGACAGGACAGGTGACCCAAACTGACCAAAGGGGTATTCCATACTATATGACGTCATGCTCAGTTTATAAGGAGCTTGGGGGAAGAGAGAGGGGGGGGGGGCGGCGTTCAGAGCGATGGCGTTTGTCTTCCCAAGTAACCGTTACGCGTGACAGAGCCCTGCTTTCCTGGAGATGGCTGAACACCTGCCTGCCCATGGGAAGTGGTGAATGAATTCCTTGCTTTGCTTTGCTTGTGCGCGCGGCTTTTGCTTTACCTATTAAACTGTCTTTATCTCAACCCACGAGTTTTCTCACTTTAACTTTTCTAATTCTCTTCCCCATCCCAATGCGGGGGAGTGAACGAGCGGCTACGTGGTGCTCAGCTGCCAGCTGGGGTAAAACCATGACATAGTGGAATTTCCTGTGAAGCAGAAATGATCCATTATATCTACCTATGGAGTTTTAAAAACATATCTACACATATCAAATATATCTTGCAAATATTCAGCTTCCTGATACCTGTGAACAGCTCCACTTCTGAGGGTAACTTTTCCTGTAACCATTTCGAGAATATGATCCCAGTGATTCAGTGTTTTCCTGGGAATGAGGAGGCGCACTACAGGGCTAATGAGGTCTCCGTTAGCAATCAGGCTGAAATAAAGTGAAGTAAAATAATTTGGAGGAGCATTTTAAACAAAACTCATCTGAACTTAAGACACCACCACCCCCCGAAATGGCAGTTCACTAACTGAGAATTCTACTTACAAAATAGTGTAGGGCTCCTGTAGGGGTTTTCGAAATCGTGCTGACACAGTGATTCTACTGTGAGTAACTGGCTTGACCTGCAAAGACAAAAAGAATTAGCAATCACTCAGTCTTCACAATGGGAATGAGTTTACCCTGACCACCATCAGAAAGGGGGGCAACGTATCTGCAGTTCCTGTTTTTAAAACATACATTTTATTCCATTCTAACTTCACTTTCTACAGAGCATATATTATTACTGCTGCAGTTTTATATACATGTTGAACAACCACCACAACATAGCATACCACAATGCAGCATGGCACAACATTTCCACTAAGAGCTCAGAATTGTATGGACATCTTTGGTGACTTCTTAGCTGTTGTTCCTAGAGACCCAAAGCAACACTCCCAAATGCTGTTCTTGCTTTCTTAGTCTTTACTGCTCATAACTATGACACAAGCAATGAAACCATCTTCTCTTTCTAACAATAAATGCTATCTCTAGGTCTTTCTGCTATTATGTAATATGTACTTTTGCTCTTGTATGGGTGTTTACATCCAAATCCACCAGTGATTTATAAAGGTTGTTGAATACTATGCTCATTTTAGGGCAATGCCTCACAGGTGAGGGCAACTGCAGATTTTTAGCTCTCAGAGTAAAACACAGGCTATTTAATTCCCAGCTACTTATTCCTTGTACTCTTTTGAACAGACACTGCATTGAGATCAATCAGGTGGCTTAACATTAATGCCATTATATCGAACAGAAAGTTACGCAATACCACCTAGCTAGCATTCCCTACTATAAACACACTTTCAAATGAAAAAAAAAAAAGTGATAAACCCAAACCCCAAAACCATTAGAAAGATGTTGTTAATTCTCCATAATTTGCAAATCAAAATAAGGTGTCAAACCCAAAGAAACATTCAAAAGTCACAGTACATGCATTAGCTAGTTGCCTACGTTTCTGAAAAACACTGTAATAGCTAGCATACACAGAGATCTGCTTTCAAGTAGATGTACAAATTTTATTTAAAGTGGCAACATTCTAGTCATTTTGTAAAGTAGTCTAATGATGTGATGTATCGCAGTTTTATCACACTCTGTACTAACTTAACCAATACATCTCATTTAATTCATGGAAAATGGTGTGGGCTCCAGTGCTTTAGGTCTTTACATGGATTTTCACACAAATTCATTTAGTACTGACAGGATTGCTTTCCAGATCTTTCTCTTGTATATAATGAAAAAAAGCAAGAGAGGTGCTCAACCCACCTGATATTTCAAATTAGCAAAAAATTATTATTAAAACAATCAAATCTGACTCCCCATATAACCCAAAGAACCTCACACAGCAAATTCTGCATCAAGCACATAAACTCTGGAGCTAAAATAGCTCTCTTCGGGGAAAAAGCAACCAACAAAACAAAAGCAAAACTGGCATTCCTTGATATACAATCACTTCAAATGAAAAACAGTAACAGGTAAACCTGTTGAACAAAATCTTTTCTCAATGTCTGCTAAAAAAGAACAGTATCTATTCTGAATTCAACTCACTTCAGCTTCTCGCCTTTCTCAAAAGCCCTTGTGAGCAGTGTAGCCCTCCCAATCTTCTGTTTTCTGAGGGACTCAGAGGACATGAAGGCCTACACTGGTCGTGGATGGAGGAAGGCAGAGTTAGCCTTTGCCCAGCAAAGTGACTAAACAGAAGCAATTAGCAGCAGTAGGGGCATAATGATCTGAAGCTCAGTGCAAAAGGATATTTTGGCCAGAGACTTCTACGAGAGGAGAGACAGCAAGAAAGATGCTATTGCCGCATTGTGCCAGCAATGCTTGTGGACCAGGCTAGAAAGCAGGCTCCTGGAATGGCTGAGGACCTTCCCTTCATGCAAGCAAATTTCTAGGCAGCACATTTACTCCTTAAGATCTATGTCCTAGATACATGTTTGTCTTGGTCTCATACAATGAGAAATTTTATAGTAGACTGTATATAAGCTATGCCTTAATGCCTAAGAATGCCTAAGGTAATTGCAATTCACAGACTTGCTGTTAATTCCAGTGTGCTCCGATTCAGGTGGAAGATTCACACGTGCTACTACAGGCTTGGAAAGAGAGTAAGAGGTTGATATCATACAGCTCATTAGGGGAGGCAAAGAAATTTTTGGAGACTGCCAAATAATTTAGGAGCTCAGCCAGTCTTGCAGAAACATTCAAAGCACATTTTTCAGAGTATAACATCATTTACGTCACCAAAATTTGAGATGAAAATTTACTGAGGCTCTAGGAAGAAAAAGAAAATGCACCTTAAACTGCAACATCTGAAAACATTTCTATTGCTGCTGCCAGCCGTTAAGGGTTATTTGCCCAATGTAAGCAATCTAATAGAGAGCTTCAGAATATAGAAAAAATAAGGTAACTTTCTAAAGACTATGCTCCTGAAAACTGAGGCAATACTGATTTACTTCCATAGCATCAGGTCCTAATATTTAGGCTCCAAACACAGATTGCATCCAAAATGGGAACGACTTAACTTAGGCTGCCCTTACACCTCTCTGTGTAGCTTCTAGGTTGCCAGGCCAATCCCCTATAAAGTTTTCAATATATGTAACTAGCAAAGCCTTATATCACTTTTTCTGAAAACGGATTCCTTTCCGTTCCCAATGCTCACTTACGCTGTTGATACCTATACTCTCACACACTCCAAAGAGTCCATCAAACCAAGTTCTCTGATTCAGTCTGCAACACCCAGGTTTCAATAATCCATGCTTTACCGGAACTAGTTAGAAAGCATTTCCTAAGCATAAAGAAGCCCTTTAGGATAGTCCCAGCTGTGCCTAATTATTTAGTTGTTCCTGCAAGCTGATGAAACCATTAATTTTGATGTAGGCTCCTCAGAAGGCCATCATGTTATTGCATGCAGCCCAATCAGTGGGCCCCTGAGAAAACAAGCAACCTGACAGATGTTAAGGGCTCATTTATTATTCAAAGGATTGTATTTCTGCCAATAATAGATACTGTGGCATCAGCTTGCAAGTCTGTTGGGTTACTCTCTCAAAGAGTCATTAAGCCTACTGTGGCCTAAGTCAGCCCGGCTCTTAAACAAGCAAACTGCAGGGGACCAGCATATGGGACCAGCTTGGGCGGAGACTTGCTATTTGTCTTTTCTACCTAAACTAGAACAAAATACAAACTTCCATTGTTTTGCTAAGCGTGTTTAAATAAATGTACCTCCTGTATTAAAAGGTGAAAAAAATGTTAGTGCAATATTACATTTGCTAATATAACACCACAAAAATCAGTGCATGGAAACACTAAGATGACTATAACAGTATTAAAACACCCACAAGTACTTAACACAGCGCACAGACAAGACCTCAGTTTCTGGGAGCCTGGAACAGAGTAGCCCAGACTAAATTAAGCAGATGCTGAACCACAGTGGCACAGAACTCTCTGAAGAGTCTCTCGCCACACCTGACGTGAACAGTGGGGGTGAGCATACTGTATCTTTCCTTGGGGTCCCACATACTCTTAGGCAGATGTTTAGGCTATAATTGTTTGTCTGGAAGAGGAGGGATGACTAAAGTCTTTAGGACTCCTTGCCTCCTAAAGGCACGTTTTGCACCTGATCTGCTTCAGGGGCCAAAAGAAAGATAAACTCTTTATATTCATCCAGGACACAAAGACACTGATGCTGCAAATGAGAGAGAGGAAAAGAGAAAATAAATACATAAATTATAAGAAAATTAAAAACAAACAAACAAACAACAGCAAAAAAAAAAAAAAAAAAAAAAAAAAAGAGAAGTGCCTGCACAGGGGTGCTGCAAATAAGCTGTGTACAACACCTTTAATTTTGAAGCAGGCAAGCAAGCAACTACAATATAGTATAATATAGTACTCCACAATGCACAAGAGAACTCTTGCAGATGCCCAATAAATGTCCTGGCTACGGCATAATATATCAAGCTCTCCAAGTACAGCAGCACAAAAACTTGGCAAAAACTACCCTAGCCTGCTCTTAAGCCACTCTCTTAATAAACAGTTTGGGTAAATCTGTACTGCAGTGATTTTAAAAAAAGAGAAACAAACAAAACACCCTATACACTGTTCTTCTAATTAACCTGACTGTCCTGGGTTTTCTGGGGTTTGGTTTTTTGGGAGGTTTTTTTGGCACAGTCTTCAAGTTACTACCTCATAGAGTTGAGAACAACTTCTGTCTGACCAATGGTAAACTATTTAAGGTTATGAAAAGCAAGCCACATAATTTCAACATACCAAAGTATACTTTAATAACAGAACAAGTGCTCAGCCACTGTAAATCAATCTAGTTTGTCTGAAGAATCTGGAGTTATGCCAAACCACCCCAGTGGAAGACGTGAGCCAGGATTTAATTAAAGAATAAGTGGTTCTGCTCCTATTTTGTTTGTAGGAGGTACCACAGGGTTGCAGTGTCTGGAATAGCCTGACCCCCTCTGGCACTGCAGAGTTACATATTAACAACGATGTGGTCTTGGGTGAAAGTTTGTGCTTACATTAAGAGACCAGCATCACTAGCCCCCTAAACCCTCTGTTTTCTCTTAATTTCACTGGCCACATTCGCAGCTGATGTAAATCAGCACTTTCCCATTTACGTCAGCAATTGTAAGCAGATTTACATTAATCAATGGTCTGGGTCCATTATGATTTTATCTTTAAATTTTGTACAATTTCAGTTTGTTTGAAAAGACCCAATCAATGGCGCCTTCCTTATCCTACTGACAAATGTTGCCAACATTTCATAATTTGTGATGAGATACTCATCTGAGATATTACATGACAACATACAGCAGTAACACAAAACATTTAGAGGAGGAAGGAGAAAGCATTTTATCAGTTGAAACTCAGAGGGAGCTTTAAGTAAACTGGAGGCAATCGATTAAATGAGAATTTGCAAGGCAACAAGAGCTAAACATAGTTGGAAATACACCATGGGATCACAGACACTCAAAACCACCATAATTTTTACCTTCTATTCTACAAAGAATTTGTTATTTCCCACAGTGTCCCTTATACCAACAGCAGCATGGATCTTTCTGGCTTCAGAAAGGAGTTACCACCT